GCGTGATCTAGTGCCATGCGCTACGGCTTCTGTTTTATTGGCTTACGTGCCGGGTCCACATATAGCTTATGCGTGATTACTTCGGGGTCCAACCCTTTCATTTTCATTGCGTTCCAAGCGAACACGTCTGTATTTTGCCTTAAAAAGTCAGTCATCTCCTCTTGTTCGGTTGTAGGCATTGCGGAGCCAATTAAGAAGTATATCTCCTTTTCACCGTCTACTAAGAACACCTTCCGGAGATCCTCCACCAAATCGGTCCGTCGGGTCAGTCCGGGGTCATACACTCCTGGACGCCCGGACTGTGATTACTATTTTTCCAGGATTTCCTCTGGGGCGCGTCCCTTATCTTGGGTGAAGACTCCCGCCCTCACAGCCGAGGAAAAATAGTTTTTTGCGAACGTTTGATTCCCTTGGATCTCCATTATTCCCTTTGGTGTAACAAACTTCAATTTCTAGTGGTAAGCGGAGTGCACTGCCCCCAGTGCATGCAACCAAGCTCGCCCCATGATCACATTGTAGGGAGAGTCCGTATCAATTACGACAAACTCAATGTTGATGGTGAAGGGATCCGTGACGACTGACAACGTAATTTTGCCTATCGGCAAGACAAATGAGCCGTTAAATTCGACGAGAGGCGTCCTAACCTTAGTGAGGTCATTGAGGCGAAAGCCCATCCGCTTTAAGGTTTCAGAGTATATCACCTCCGAGGAACTCCCAGAATCTACCATCACACTCTTGACATCGAACTTGTCTATTTTCAAAGTTATGATTAGGGCATCGTTATGGGGAGTCACCACGTCTGCCAAGTCCGCGTCAGAGAACATGATACCTGGCTCACCAATCCTAGTCCTCTTGCTGGGCGGGCCCCCATCGCTCTTGGCAACCTTTCTCGTAAGGGCTATCCTCTTGAGATTAGAATCAAGCTCCTTGGACGTCGGGCGATCTAGTGGACACACGTGGATTACATCTATGATGTTATCTTGCGCCACGGTTGGGGCAGAGGCATGTCCCTCCTCTAACTTGGGTTCGATGTACTATTTCAAGTAACCGTCATGGACCAGCCTTTCCAAGAAAGATTTGTACACTCTGCAATCTTCGGTGCGATGACCAAAATCCCAATGATAGGAGCACATCACTTTTTGATCACGGGTGGAAGGATCACTCTGCATCCTCGACGGCCACTTGAAGAATGACTCATGCTTGATTTTATAGAGCAACTTGTAGATGTATTCCTTGAACACAGTGTGAGCAATCTTAAATGCCCCTCCTAGAGGGGGTACCAGCCCCTTTTGGGAGATGTCCTCCCGCTCCTTCTCTTTTCTCCTAGGGGCGAGAGTTTTTCCTTTGTCGTCCCTCATTTTATCGTCAATCCTGGAGTATTTGTTTATCCGGCCCATCAATTCGCCCATATCTAAAGGAGTTCTCTTAGTCAGGGATCGGTACAGGTCCGTGTCCCTTGCCAGGCAGAGCCTAAAGGATACGACTGTCATGACTTTCGAACACCCCTCTACCTTATTAACCTCCTCCCAGTACCGGATGGCGTACTGACAAAGGGTTTTCTGTTCCCTCCGCCTGAGCGTCAGTAATGATCCAATATTTTTGGGCCGCTTACTCCCCGTTATGAATCGGGCTAAAAATTGCCTCGTCAACTACGTCCATGACCCAATGTTGTTGGGAGAAAAAGTCTCGAACCACTTCATAGCGGAATCTCCCAAACTCATGGAGAACACTTGGCAGAGAAGCCGTTGGTCCGAGTGATACAGGGACATCATTTGCTTGTATTGCCTGAGGTGAGCTTCGGGATCTGATCGTCCATCATAAGTTTTGAACCTTGGCATGATGAACTTCTTTGGTACCTCCATTTCTCGGATATCCCTAGTAAAAGGAGATTGCATGGCCTCATCTTTTGTGTCATCCTGGACAGTCTTGCCCCTTCTTCTGGATTCTAGCCGAGCTCTGAGATCAGTTTCCACCTCAGGGGGATGTCCTTTGAGGTTTCTAAGGTCATTGAAGGGATTCCCCTTCTCCGGGCGTCGCGTGGAAAGGGCTGAATCCTCCTTGGACTCATCCCCCTTCCCGCGCCTTGATAGTCCTCGCCGAAGGTCGTCCCAAGACAAAGGTCTTGCCTTCCTGGAATGACCATCGAGGGGGTGCTCATTGTCGTTTAAATGATTCCTCAGGTCCTCGATTTCTGCTTCCCGGACAGAGCGTCCGCGGGAATGGAATGAGTCCCTCGATCCTTCGCGGGGGGCTGCAAATTGGTTGAGCCAGCTTAGGACATTCACATTATCTTTTTCTAACTGTCGTAGTCGATCCCCAAACTTTTCTTCGATCACTTTTGCCAGTTGACGAGCCAAAGGGGCGGATCCTCCTGACCCAATGCCCATACTGGTTTGAGGAGTATCCCCCCTTGACTGAATAGAAATGTTCCTGTTGTCACCAGCTTGATCCCTCCCCCCATCATGATGAGGAGTTTGTAACTCGAGACTTCTTTGCTGGGGACCTTTCCCTTTCTGTCGAGTATTCACCATGGTCACCGTTCTTTCTAGAAAAAAAACTAGGAAAACTAGTCGTTTCCCACAGACGGCGCCAAATTATGCGTGCACGATTTTGCACAATATAAATACAAGAACATATCTCTTCCGTGGTGAACATGAGTCCGTCAATCGAGTGATCAATCTTGCTACTTGGAACAGGTCGTGAGGGCCGAAGGTGGCCTGAGAAATGGTAATGAATAGTTCCTATGGGTCACCAGATTGCTCATGTGAGGCTAAGAGAGGTTCCTGGAACAGAGAAAGACAGGTTAGAAGGGGGCCGGAGTATTTTTCGACGTATCCCCTCGGACGATCAAATCAATTCCTTGAGAGAGGAGAAGAAGAAAATACTGTATGATGCTTGAGAAAGGGTTTTTTGTGTACCTCATTAATGTGTTTGTGAGGATTATTTATACTTACAAAACGCATCATTGCTGACAGCGTAGCTAGTAGGTAATCATTCGAGGTGGACAGTGTGCACACTAATTTCTATGAGAAATGTCCTCATTCATAATTGTTCGGGACCCCGAACAACTAATGTTTTCTCCTCGGCCTGCCGAGCGTTTAATGACCTTCTCTCGGCAAGGAGGTATTAAATGCCCAAGCATAGGAACATTCATTACCTTTCGCTTCTAGGCTCTTATGCATTAAATGCTGCCTCATCAAGGGAAGGATACATTAAATGCCTGTTCTCCCAAGTCGTGTGTCAACGAGGGCATTCTGGTCTTTTTGTCTCTGATCTGACACAATATGCCATGTGCCCATCCCCATTTGGTTGAGCCTTCTGCTTTCTTGTGCCTCCTGACACTATTTGAGTAAGACAAGGTCATGATGGCTAGTCTAGCCTAGCTTAGGCTAATGATCTGTCCATCAATAACCCCTATAGGAACAGAAACGCCCATGTGGACAGACACACCTCAGTGCCGAGGGACTAGAATGATTAGGACCGATATACCCAAACTGCCGAGAAATACGTGTTGGTCCAAGGCGTGTTGGGGATCCTTGGTCCCTGTGAATAGTATCCTCAGGGCAGGAGTTGTAAACCGACAAAGATGTGTCGGGATCACAGTGGAGAGTCTCCATTGACGCCGGACACGTGTCATCATCTGGGAGTGTCTGAAAATGTCCCATCACCAAACACAATGTAATTAATGAAATTAATAATTAAGGGATCACAATGAAATTTCATAGTACTTAAGGGACTATAGTCTATATGTATATTTAGTTAATAATTAGGTTCCTTTCGCAATTTAGGTCCAAAATATTTTTGATTTGAGAGAATTATACTTAGACTCCTTGAGATTTGTCACTTAATCCCTCAGATCTCTTGATATTTAAAATATTACATAAATTCCCTAAAATTTGTCCTCCTACATCAGTTAGTGAATTACATCCAGGCCCCTTGAATTTAAAATATGATACTTAGACAAAAAATAATCCAATCAAAGATAAAATATCAAATATTTTAAATTTTACAATCAAAATTTATGTTCTATTGTATCATTTATTGAAATAAAATAAAAAATAAAAAATCGTAATTAATATACGATTATACTATCTATTGGAATAAAACTAAAAAATCAAACAAGGAGTCTAAGTCATTCATAATAAAATATGAATTTTACAACCAAAATTCATATTCTATTATTTCATATATTGAAATAAAAATCTATTTTTTTCATAAAAAATTATAATTAGTAGACAAATATACTATCCATTAAAATAAAACAAAAAAAATCAAATAAGGGGTCAAATTGTAATGGACACAATATCTTATAACTTTAATTGAGGTAATTTGATAATTTAATTTAATAGTTTAAACAACCAAATTAATTCTAATAAATAGTATAATTGTATACTAATTATAATTTTAGAAAAATATCATTTACACCCCCTGACATTTAAATTTATTACCCGGACACCCCTTCACATTTTAAAAATGACACCCGACCTCCCTTAACATTTATAACTTATAAGATTCACACTCCCTCTAACTAATTAACTTTAGAATTGTTAACAGTTAAAACTGATGTCATCAATATAATCCTTATAATATAAAAAATGCCCTCCAAAATTAATTTTAAGAACTTATATATATATATATATACCCTATGAATTTACCCCATTTATTTCATATATAGATTAAAAATTTAACCTTTTAATGTTTAATTTCCTAATCTATCAAATTAATAAGTTAAATATTGAATGCTTCTTGTTTATTAAATAATATTTGGGATTATTATTACAATTTAAAAATTAATCAATTTTTTAAAAATCTTAATAACTATCTATCCAATTATGCCATATTAACTTTATTTATATTTATTATTTATCTAATTACATAAATTCTTCCTCACGCCACCCATCACCTACACTACCGCCTAAACCCAATCACAACAAGGGATAGCAACAAGAGAGAGAGAGAGAGAACAACCCATTGAAATCACCCATTGAAACCTTTGTAAGGTGTTCCTTCGAATGCTTGGCCTCCCCAACGAAGACAATCGGAGGAAAAGAATCCAAACTCTGGAGCACAGATTCGAGCTCTTCTTGATTTGGTTACTATGAGAATTGAAGAACCTTCTTGGTTTTTCAGCTGTCCACGCTCCATTTCTTGGAGACTCTATCTAGGTTTGTCACTATTGGTGTTGTTGTTGAGGTGGCTGCTTTAGCCGATATGGTTGGTTTTGGAGGCTTATCAGAAATAATGGGATTTTTGGATAACTCAGAGGAATGGACGACAGAAATGGGTTGGATTGATTTGGTGGGTTGGATTGATTTGGTGGAGAGAGAAAATTGGTCGAATTTGGAAGAAGGTATGAGAGATTGGGTTTCAACAATTGATTTGTTGGCCAGAAGAGTATTGATGCTTGTAAGAGTCATTGTTTTGTAGGTAGAAGGGTCTGTGTTCTTGGGCACTATGTGTGGTGGTGGAGGTGGTGGTGCAGGGAATACGATAGAGGTTGGGAGTGGTGCAGGAAAAGAGGGAAAAAATGATATTGCTTAACTGTTGGGGCTTCGGGATAGAGGGTTTTAAGTCACGAGTCACAAGTCGTAGAGTGTTGTTTTGGGCATGGGATGTGGATTTAAATCTGGGCATTGATTGGATCAATTAATTAAGGAAAAAATAGTCTTTTTAATAATATTGTTAACGTCGTTCACCTATTGGGGTCTCAGTGTTATTTTTAAAATATGAGAGGGTGTCCATATAATAAAACTAAATGTCAAGGGGTGTGAGTTATATTTACCTTATAATTTTTTAAGAAAAAAATTAATTTTTATTTTTAATTTTATTTTAATAAATGTCATAATACATGAATTTTAGTTGTAAAATTTAAAATATTTGATATTTGATATTGGATTAGAGTATTTTTTTTATCTAAGTATACATTTTAAACTTGAGGGGTCTAAGTATTATATGCCTATAAACTTCAGAGAGTTTAAATGTAATTTACTAAAGGTCTAAGTGTTACACGCGTACAAACTTTAGGGAGTTTATCTAATGTTTCAAATGTCAAAAATTCTGAATAATTAAGTGACAAATCTCAGAGAGTCTAAATATAATAATTGAGTGTAATAATTTAGTATGAGGGTGTTTGGTATAATAGATAAATCTGGATAAGTAATGTTGGATTGTATAAAAAAAAAAGGTGGGCTCCATTTATCCTTCGTTTGGCAAGGCTTCTGAAGGCTGGACAATCGTTGGGTTGAAAAACTCAACCCGTATTTCTTGGGTTGATTTATCCCCTCTCAAGTGGATTAAGAAATCCCACCAAAACTTTGGGATTAAGCAACAGCCTATAGGGTACACTTGTGCATTTACCATTACACCCCTGTAAAGCAAAATAGAATTTCTTTATCATCTCTTCCCTCATTTTCACTGGTCCCCCTCTTCGAACGGTGCCAAATCCTCTCTATTGCCAAGGTCTTGTTTCTCTCTTTCTCTCTTTGTAATCGAAGTCGACAAAGTCGAAGCAACACAATTCCGGAAACTATACCAAAATCCCACCTTTTTCATGGAAGAAGCTGTGGATTTTCACAGGACCTAGATTCTTGATGAGTATAGTGTTTCTAGATCCGGGTAATTTGGGGCTGATATTTAGGAGGTTATTGGGAGTGCCATTGCTCTTTTAAGATTTTGAGCAATGGTGTCTTGCCACTATGGTCTGGTGTTGTCATTATTGCTTTTGATTGGTAATTTCACACTCACTTTCTTTTTTAGCATAATTTTGGACTGTCAATGAGTAAATATGTGAATTATTCTTGGTGTAGGCTTTGAAGATTTTGATCTTGAGGTTTCTGATGTTTCATTTTGAGCATTCTTGTGCATTGAGAATCCTGGAATTAGGTGTAGAATGTGATGATGCACAAATTAGTTTGCACACCACATGTCAAGTATGCAGTATAAAATGCAGTAAAATAAGTAGAGGGAAAGAAAAGACAAGGTTTATAGTTGTTCGGTCAACGTAACCTATGTCCACTTTGAATGGCAAGGGTCGCTAGTATTTTATTATCTCTAGTGTGGAAGGAGGGCATAATGTTACAAGTTTTGAGATAGGAGGAGAGAGTTATGCTCAAATGAGTGAGATTCCCCCCAAGTGTTTGTGGGGCTTACAATTTATAGTGGTTTAGTGTATTAATTGAATAGCTAATCTGATGATCATAACGGGTTGGGGTCGTTTAATAGTCATAACGGATTGGATTGATTTTAACAGTGATTAAATAACTTAGTGACCCCTCCTCTCCTCAACGGGCAAGGAAGTTATGATGTTTTCCAAAGGACTTGGTCAAAGGATGAGGAAGGTTCACTCTCTCCGAGCGACGAGGGTGAAACTCTTAGATGACCCTTACTCCAAGGTGGTAGAGGAGGCTCTTGGATGACTCTTGCTCCAAGGTGGTAGAGGAAGCTCTTGGACGGCCCTTGCTCCAAGGTGGTAGAGGAGGCTTTTGGATAACCCTTGTGTACTCCTCTACTGATGTAACTCTTGCAACCTGATGAACTTGACCGGGTGCAGACCCTTTTGGGCTTGGCTAGCTGGACCTCTTAGAGTTGAGCCCTTGAGCTTGTAACATGAGTTGGGCCCTTGGGCTTGGCCCATCATTTGCCCCTCAATGCCCTATGTCCAATAAAACCTAGAAATAAGGGCATTCAGTTGAGTTTAAATTTTTGGCTGACCGACACAATTGAAAAAATTTTGGGAGGCCAAAACATCTGTTTCTAGGCCTTTTTTGGACTTTTAACAGCATCAATTACAACCAAAGGTTACATGTCTTGCAGGGCTCACTGAGAGCTTTAATTTGATATATTATAAGCCTCATTTGGAGTAACGGAGTAAAAGATACGGTCAAAACTTTGAGCAGAGAGATAGGCGAGCAATTTGGGCGAGTAGGCAGCCTTCTGGGCGATCAAATTTTTTTATTTTTTTTTAAAACTTCGGGAGGCCAAATCACTTCTTTTTGGGCATTTTTTGGACTTTTTTTGAAAAGCTCATTACTGAGGAAATGAGTTTTGCTCAGCTCGTCGAGAGCTTCGATTTTGTATATAATAAGTCCTATTTTAAGTTTCAGATCAAGAGTCACTGTCAAAATAGCTTGTAGGGAGCTGGGCGCGTTGTTTGGGCGACCAGACAACTTTTGGGCAAGTAGGGAGTGTCTTGGGTGAGCAACAATTTTTTTTTTTTTAATAAAAAAACTTTGAAAGGCCAAAATAGTTGTTTCTGAGCCTCTTTTGGACTTTTTATAGCATCTTTCATTGCCATAGGCAATGAGTTTTGTAGGGCTCGTCGAGAGCTTTGATTTGATATATAATAAGCTTCGTTTAGAGTTTTGGATCAAAAGTTGCTGTCAAAATAGCGTGTAGCCCTTTTTAAATTCGAATTTTTGAAAACTCTTCTTGATCGGCCACCCCATTCCTTCCAGTAGACTCCTTTTACTTGTAGGACTCCATTGACTATATAAACTACTTCTTTCACTTTCCTTTTGGATTTTTGGAGAGATCGTTGTTGTCCTCGGAGATAAAGAGCAGGGAGCTAAAAGGAGTGATTTTAGGGGAGTGGTCTGCTGTGCATGTGTCCGGAGTGTGTGAGAAGGAGGCATTGGGCTCCCAAACTATGGTGACCCCAATCTTGGCGAGCAAGCCAGGTGAGAGAGGGAGGCGTGCAGGTGTATGGGCTTGCCTCGGGCGCCGCTAGCGTGCAAGCTAGGCGCGCTGGGCACGCACTGTAGAGAGGCGGCAGACCAAGTGAACGGAGTTGCTACGACGATGATCCATGTTGGGAGAGTAGGTTGTGCGCCTTGGCAGTCTCGGGCAAGCAAGATGGGTGCCTTGGCAATCTTGTCAAATGGGAGTTCATGAAGGACCCTCGTGCAAAAGCTGGGTGTTGAGGATGTCAAGATCGAGATATTGACCTATGCCGCATGAACTGAGATAAGGGGCGCCGAAATGGGGGTGCCATTGGCATGGGGAGGTGCTATGGTGTCAGATGGGATGCTCCATGCGTTGGGTGCTGATGGAGATGCGCCCATGGTGCTGGGCACTGCTACAGAGTCCCTTATGGTGATGGGTGCCATTGAAGAGGAGCCCATGGTACTGGGTGCCGTTGGCTGGCAATTTTGTTAATCGTGATGGAGGTGCATTGTTTGGAGGCAAGCGCAAGTAGAGCTTGTTTGCGCTAGGTGTTAAGCATGGGGTGTTGTAACAACGAGGTGGCGGTGCCAGATGGACACAAAAGAATGAGGCCCGATTGTTGACATTTAAATTTAATGTAGTCCCATGGGTTGTAGACGACCTGAGTTTCAAGAGCCTGGCTAGAGATGGCAAAAATAATATTATTTCAAATATTAAAATATCTAATATAATTACCTAGAGAAAGAGGTAGGCTGCTTGAGCGAGAGGAAAAATAGAGTTTGAGAATTGCTCGTGAGAGAGCTACACCTTTTGAGATCGAGCTTTTGGCGACCCATTAGAAAGTCCTTAAGCTTAAGGTATAAGTTTCTTGCTTGAGAGCAGAGCAGATGCCAAGCTTTTGACGACCCGCAAGAGAGTTGTTCAACTAGAGATAGGTTGCCTACTTGAGACCAAAGTAGAGGCCAAGCTTTTGGCGACTCACGGGAGAGCCTCTTAGCTAGAGATAGATTGCCTGTTTGAGAGCAGAGCAGAGACCAAGCTTTTGGCGATCTGCGGGAGAGACGCTCAGTTGGGAATAGGCTGCCTATTTGAGAGCAAAGTAGAGGCCAAACTTTTGGCGACCTGCAGGAGAGCCGCTCAATTGGAGATAGGCTGCCTGTTTGAGAACAGAGTAGAGACCAAGTTTTTGGCGACCCGCGGGAGAGCCGCTTAGTTGGAGATAGACTGCCTGCTTGAGAGCAGAGCAGAGACCAAGCTTTTAGCGACCCGCGGGAGAATCGCTCAGTTGGGAATAGGCTACTTGCTTGAGAACAGAGTAGAGACCAAGCTTTTGGCGACCCGCGGGAAAGCTGCTAAGTTGGAGATAGACTGCCAATTTGAGAATAATGCAGAGTCCAAGCTTTTTAGCGACCCGCGAAAGAGTCGCTAGGCTGCCTATTTGAGAACAGTGTAGAGGTAGGTCAAGCTTTTGGCGATCCGCGAGATGATTCACCTCGCCTAGACTTGTTGATTTTCTCAGCATTCATATATTTTTGAGCTTTTGCCAATAGTTCTGGCATGCTCTTTGGTGGGCGCTTCATCACTGAGAAGAGGAAGCTTGATGACCAGAGGCCTCCTAGGAAGGCGGTCATGCTGAC